GCAAGGGTGGGGGGAGGGGAGGGGAGGGGAGGGCTACCTAAACCTAACAGAATGGAAATGAAATTCATTTCTTCTTTTACCTCGTGGTTTTCAACTTTTGAGCACAGACATTGTGATTAGAATTTAGGCTGCGAAACTATGAAATGAGACTATGTGATAGTCTACTAGGAATAAAAGTGAATGTACCATCTAGTTTAAAACAAATCAAACTGCAATTTCTGTAGGAACACTGTCATCTTTGGGGTGTCAGAGCAAAATTAAAATAAAACTGACCGGCAGTGTTTTAGCTTTAAGCTGAAGTCAGCAATAAGGAAGTTTACAGAAATCTCTTGGAATACATACCAACTTCCCAAAGACTGGCTTCGTATTTTTTACCATACACCAAGCTCGAAAAACACTTCTGTCCAACAGCAGTGAAACACTTCTGCCCCAGTATCACAAGATCTGCACGTACCACACTACTGGTGCTTTAGACAGTGATGTCACTCGGTCAGACGTTTTCAGCATCCCAACTGCTTTGCAAGACAGATCCTACCTCAGGCCTCTCCACAACAGACCACACAGGGCACATTTTTAAGGACAGTTTGGTTTCAAACCACCTTCGATTCATTCCTTCCCCTTTTGAAAGCTGCATTCTACTCACAGGTTTAGGACTAGAAGACGACATGGAGCCTCTTACCATGTCCACCAGGGCTACATAGAGGAACATGCCCGCGGTGACGGCGAAGATCCAGAGTGTGATGTTGTTGGCGTACTGGCCCACCGCCGTGCCGATGAGCATGCCCACGTAAGCCATCATGGCGGAGAGGAGGTTGTACACGATGGCCTGCTTCACGGTCATGCCGGCCTTGAGGAGCACGGCGAAGTCACCTGCAGCCAAGACACAACGGGGCAGCTCAGAAGTCTGGGCAGAGAGAACCAGCGACATTACAGACACCTCTGGCGGGCGAGGACGGGGAAGGCGGGGATGCCAGAGCTGCTGTCCCCACGTGTGCCCAAGAAAGGCAACTTCTGTGTGAGAACTAAAATGTATTTTTAGAAGGAAAAACAATCGAGAAAAATACAGAAGAAAAAAGTCTCTGCTCTGCATTAAAGTAAGAAAAGCTCTCTGCTCCGACTTCTCTCCTTCAAAGAGAAATGGAGCGTGTATGTCAGCCAGAGATAACCGGCTAAGTATATCTTCTGGTATCGACACCTATTTTTTTCCTGCAGAAAACCGTCCGACCTTAATTCTGGAAGTCCTCACAGTACACCTCACAGTACACACTTCCGTGCTGCCTCGTGGGGCTCGGGAAGACGCAGGCCGCAGGGAGCGCCGATCTCTAGGACACCCACGGTCCCCCTTTGGCTCCTCACCGCCACTGAGAAGCACAGGTGGGCACCCGGGAGACCGTCCTGGTCACAGAGTTGAAGCAAGATGAAAGCACAGGGAAACCCCAGGACTCTTTCTCGCACTTATCTGACTTAATTTCTGCTCTGACAGATGTCGGGGGAGCAGAGTGCCCTTAGAGATAACACTCTTCAGGCGCGAGAGTCAAAGGCGATAGGGCTACTTACAAACAGTTCGCTGTCCTTTAGTAACCAAATATACGACATCCAGGCACCTACTGAACGCTCAACACATGTGAGGTGCTGCAGGGACTGCTGAATGGCTTGTTTCTTTCTCTTAAGGAAGAACCCAAGTGTCTACACATCTAAAAACACACCTCCTCTTCATCCATGGTTCTCAAGGCTACAGAGTTCTATCTAGTCCGAAACAGGTAAGTAGATGCCATCAACAAACTCACACAAGGCAAACTGCTACCAGATGCAGAAGACGTCACTTTACAAAGTCAAAATAACACGCCGAGGGAACACAGTGTTTCCAATGGCGCCATTCCATAGTGCAGCCCAATACCACGCTCCTTACGTTTTCCCCCCTCAGATCCTAAATACTGTACCTTCACTCTCCTGTTGAAACTTGGATTTAATATCAGCTTTTATCCTCCCTACATTTGGTTTAATTTCTGCATGTCTTTTTCTCCTCGGTTTCCTTCAAAGCAAAAGAGCCCCCCCCCGCACAAGTTTCACCTCCAGTGTCCAGGGTTCGCCAGTAAACTGCGCTAAGGGGGCGATTTCATTCAGTAAGGGGTGAGGTAATGCAGAAAGAATACAGGACCCTTTAGATTACAAAGCACTACAGTGCTTTATAATTTCTTGTGGCTTAAAAGGAGAGTGTCCAATGAGCAACACTCACAGTGACAGACTCTGTGACACAGACCCACTGTCTGCCTTCCTGTCTGAGGAGCAGCCGAACAGCATCATCAGTCCACAGTCAGGATGAATTGGGATCTAATCCTTTTTAAAACTGAAATACTGTATAACTTGCAATTTTTTCACTTTGTATCTTTTGGTGTGGTGTTCTACAAATTCTGACACACACAATCACTGTGTAACCTCAACCACCAAACCTGAAAACTGTTTCATCTTCCTCCAAAATCCCTGCAGGCCCTCACCCCTACAATCAAGGGTTTGCGTTCTGTCCCTACAGTCTGGCCTCTTCCAGAACATCACGTGAACGGAATTATTTAAAACAGTTAATAAAATCAGGAGACTGGATTTTTCTTAGTGTAACCATGTAAGATTCACCCAAACTCTATAGGAAACTGCATTCCCACGAGGAATGTACAAGAGTTCTGACTGCTCCCCGCCCTCACTAGCCTATGACAAACCCCACAGCTGAAACCCTGTTTGCTACCTGCATACCATTATTAGTGACACATCTATTCAAATCTTTTGCCCGCTCTTGCTATTGGGTTGTTTTCCTTTTACTAAAGTAAGAGGTCCTTAAATGTTCTGGTCCTTAAGGCCTTTTGTCAAGATTTGTGATTTCCAAATAATCTTTCACAGTCTATAGCTCAACTTTGTATTCTTTTAACAGTGAAGTTTTAAATTCAACTTTACTCATTTAAATTCATCTTATTACTCTTTTCCTTAGATTTTGCTTTTAATGCTGTGTCCGAGAACAATTAGTCTGACCCAAGGACACAAAGTGTCCTGTGTTTTCATTTATAAGTTTTACATCTTTGAGTTCTCTAGTGACCTATCTTGAGTCATTTTTTTTTTTTTTTTGGAACCGGGGATCAAACTTGGGTCCTTGCACTTGCAAGGCAGGCAGCAGAACCACTGAGCTAAATCCCCGGCTTCAGTTCATTTTTGTCTACGGCATGACGTATGGGTAAAAGCCAACCTTTTATTTTGGTAAGCGGACATCCAACAGTTAAGAGATGCGTTTATTCTTTTAACAACACCAACTGTTTTAATTACTCTGACTTTACAGTAAGTACTGAAGTCAACTTTGTTTTCTTTTCTCAAAATTCCTGGCTATTCAAATTCCTTTCTTTCTATAAAGGGAACACAAAAAAATCTGCAGGAAGGAACACCTCCACAACAGCGAGTCTTCCAGCCCGCGCACTTACCCCTTCTCTCACTTCATCACTTAACCCTGCTCTCATCTCTTCTGTTGGTGATCTGTGGTTCTCAGCACACATTACACATACTGTATTAGATGAAGCTGAACACCTCAGGACTGTAGTGCTATTGTAAACAGTAATTTTTTAAGATTTAAACTTCCAACTATGGACTGCTGATATGTGGCAGGACAGACGTTTTTGTATATTGATCTTCGATCAAGCCAATCATTTCATTTTAAATATCTTTTGTCCTAGTCTTAATTCAGCTTACAAATTCTCAAAGAGTTCTGCTCATTTTCTCCTTTCTCCAAACCTCCCTTCCCAGTAAGAACCTATATACACATCTTAAAAGTAAGTCAAAGGGCTTCCCATAACCAAGGGAGTAGCTTGGCACAACTAAACATCCCGTAACTAACTGTGCAAGTCTGCTCATTTTCTGATAAAACCAACACTCTTTCCTTCCTGCTGTCAAAGGACTTCATTAGCACAGGGAATGAGGTGTGTGTGCCAAGCTGTTAAGCTGATGTGATGCAACGATATAGTTACATGAACATCTGCTAACATCAATTATTGAGAATTCCCAAAACAGACTGCATGCTGAGCCTGGTGGTATGCTGCCTAGTTCCAGTACTCTAGGAAAAGGAGGTAGGAGGATCCCAAGTTTAAGCCCAGCCTGGGCAATTAGCAATACTCTGTCTCAAAGTAAAACAATAAAAGGGGCTGGGAAAGCCCTGGGTTCCATCCCTGGTATCACCAACGGTGGTGGGATGGTGGTGGTGGTGATATCTTAAGGTTCTTCATTCTTGTCTTAAATGCCTGCATACATATTACATCTATACAGCGAATGTTCAATCTTTCTTGGACAATTTAGCATGTTATACAACTTTTATCTTGAATTTCAATTCTACCTTTGATACACGCGAGAAGGAAAAATGTTTCAGTGCTATAGCCCAAGCTGTCTTAAAAAAAAAAAAAGCTCATTTCCTTGTAGTGAAAACACAGCATTCCACACCAAGAAGAGAGATGACCCTAACTGTACCTGCTTTGTATGTCCTCCCGAAGGCTTTCTTACAAATGAATTCAAATGCTTCTAACAGCTCCTTATTGAAGGACAGAGGGAGAACTGGAGAGAATAAACTAATCTGAGAGGAGAGCGGTGACTTAATTCGGGCAGTTCCCCACCAAGACCCCCAGGGAAACAAGAAACAGAGCTGCGCATATACTTCTTCCTTCCCGCCTTGGGTGAGTGCGCCGCTCAGGGCTCTGTGCACTCAACCCGGCCCTGACCCTAAGAGCAGAGGCTAGGCTGGCGGCACCAGGGAGCAGAGCTGCCCGGGAGGACCGACCCCTGGAGGCTGGAGCAGGTGGCGCTGCTGGGTCGGGGCAGGTCTTCGGAGCGTTCCCGGGCGAAGGTCGGGCGCCAGCGAAGCGCTGCCCCTGCCACATCCCGACCTCACGGGGTTTCTCCTCTCCCTTCCTGCATGCCTGGCCCCGCCCAGAAGCAAATCAGACGAGGGCTCCGACAGGGCCAGGACACCTCACTGGTGCGTCCTAAAGGCCAGAGGGCTCCACCTTGCTCTTTGCACTTCCTCCCAACCCCAGCAGAGCCCCTGCCTGCACGCCCCGGGGAGCTCCCACCAGCTCCCCACGCCCTTCCGCCCTGGGCCTCCAGCCAAAGCGCCGGCGGCGGCGTCACGCTGGGAGCCAGAGTATCACACAACATTAATGCACACGGTGCGCTTGTGCTGCAGAGTTGGCATCCTGTTTCCTTCTTTAATTTTGATACAGAGTCTCACCGCATGGCCCAGACTGGGCTGAACTCATGGTGATCCTCCTCCCGCAGCTTCCCAGCAAGGCTGGCTGAATTAGCATTTTTTTCTAAATGTGTTGCTTTTCCAATGCAAAACCAGAGGGGGTTAAAAAAGGAAGTGGTAGAAAAAAGCACCCATCTCTCATTTCCAACACCAGGGATGGTTTCAGATCTGTGCAGAACTGGAATCTCTGGACAGCGTCAATTCAATAGCCAGCGGCGGCCGTACCCGTTCTGACGGCACTCGGTGGGTGAGCAAGGGGAAGCTGGAGATTTTCCCCGTGCTTGGAGGTGTGTGTGTGATTACTCGTCTGTTACTCAGAGGATTTCTTAAAAAGTGATAAATTAAAATGAGGCCACGTTACTAATACATAAAGAATGGACAGAAAGCCACTTGTTTTGCTACAAAATAGGGACAACAGGGAATATCTGTAGAGACGGTACAAGATGCAGGGCATTACACACATGAAAAACCCTACAATTTAGGAAATAAGACCCCTAAAAAGGGGATGTTAAGTCTAAAAGACCCAGAGGAACTGACAAAAGTTTACAGAGAAGAGTGATCCAAGACGTAAGGTCGGGGAGGATCGGGAGTGGAAGACCGAGCT